GTCTCAATTAGGCTCTAGGACCTCAAAACTGTTCTCTGCTGACGGTCCAAGTATGATTTTATGATTGCCATGTGCATTAGGAGTGGGGCCAGCTGAAGAGTCCTCCCACTATAAAAGTAATGGACGAAAACCATCTGTGGAGGATGGTTCCTGGCTACTCCTGATTTCATTCCAGGTGCTAGAGAGAGGGAGGGAGGGAGGGAGAATGGACCTTTCCATCCATATGTGATTAGACAATGCAGAACACAACCACGTTTCCAATTAGCAAGTATGGAAGCTCTAATACCTCAATATACTGGTGAAATGCAGAAGAGAAACATGTTTACAAGCTCCCATGGTCTCAATTAGGCTCAAGGAGCTCAAAATAAGCATGTTTCCAATTAGGGCTAATACAGGTAAGAGAAACATGCAAGCTTTCAATTAGGCTCAAGGAGCTCAAAATAAAATGCACAAAACAAGCATGTTTGCAATTAGCAAGTACGAGAGCTCGGGGGACAACGTACACTGATTAGCCATGTGTTCTAACTCTGACTCCGACTACATCATCCAATCTGATCATCTGATTGTCGTCACCCACATCCTGATTTTTGTTTGTGCATAATAATTATGTCCTTGCTTATGCAATGTCCATGGACATGTGTGTTTTTTATGCTTAAACATCCTCTTAATGACGATTGCCCCCAGCACATCAAAAAGACGTTCACAGTAGAACCTCCGATACGGACATTCCGAATAAAGGACACAGTAGAAAAAAGGACATCCCAAATATTTACTACATTTTTAACCTGAAGAGAGGACAACCTCCCTATATATGAAGGACAAAATTCCTGGTCCCAATCTGTCCATTATTTGGAGTTTCCACTGTAGTAAGGGGCCACTTCCTTTACCAATGAAGGAATTTTCGACTCACCAGTGGCCAGTGACAGACTATACCTTCTAACACCAGTAGACTGTCTTCTTGCACATCAAATCCAGAGATCAGTGTCTTGTAGCACTTTCAGCGTATGATAGGCGACTTTTTATCTGCACATGCGCGCTATTACGTTAAAAAAAGAGAAAGACAGAGTGTGTCGACTATATACTATAAAGGTGCATGATTATTGCACCACAGCTGAGTTCAGCTGCCAACAAACGCTTGGCGCAGCACATGTGCAGGCGGCGATTAAAATACGGGGTTAATCTTAATTGTGCTATAGGGGATATCTTGCAACGCGGTGATGCATGCATGTGCAGAGATAAGCCACATGCCCATTGAGTGAATTAACCAGAAGATAACTGAGGACTTTGCTGAACTATGTACTTTGGTAGACAAAAATGCACTGCAATAAAAAATGAGAAACACTCTTGACTATAGAAACGTCAGAGAGAGAGAGGTATATAGGAGATGACCTACTGATTCAAATCCAGCTCCTCTGGTTCGAGTGTGCTTCCTCGAGATGAGGGACACGGAGAGTACCGAAAAACCTCGACTAAACTACTCTCCTCTTTCCACATGACTCTACATTCACGTGATTTCTTAGAGGGTGGTAACAAGCCTTGCCTCCTCTTGAGTCTCTCCGCTCGTGCCAGAGCAGCCTCTCCGGTGCACATGTCATCCAGCTGCTTCTGCCGGGCAAGTCTCCGCTGGGTTTTCTGATAGTTTGATGAGGGTTTCGGGTACTCTGTTTCTAGAGATCTGGCACTTTCTTGATCCCAATCACTGCAGTCTTTACTACAGTCTTTGGAGGCAGCTGTGATTAGGTACGACAAATCTGTCCTCTTGAGTGTGTGGATTTTCTTGTGTGTGTCTCCGTTATCCCCATCACCACCCTCCATATTTTATTTAGCACTCGCTTCATCTTTCATTTGTTTCACTTCTTTCTTGTCCTCCTCCTCTGCTCTAAGTCGCCTCTTGTCACTCGTAACCACCCCTCTTCCTCGGCTTGTTCTTCTTTTCTTGATGACAGGTACCAGGTGTTGTCCTGCCCTACCTCGTGGGCAGAGTCTCGCCCTCATTAGCTCTGTAGTTGAAGGGGCCGACCCAAATTCTTCACTCTCAGTTTCACCGTTGGCGCTACTCATGTCTAAAATAATATTATATATACATTCACAAAAGGTGATCCTTCAGTTAATAAATATTAGAGCCATGCATGGTGTATAGTCATATAACTCTTCCCAGCCCATATCACGTAAGTAAAAGCATAGTGTTTGGGTCTCCTTGCTCTTGCATCGTATTATAAGCAGTTGCTGAGTCCCACCACGATCTGGGCTTGGTTAGGACCGCTTTGCTCCTGCGCCGCTCTGCATGTTTGGATCTCACTGCTCCTGCACTGCGCTGTGTGGCTCTGGAAAGCGGCGGGCGAAGCGGCCCGTCACGAGCTCAGCTGACGCCAAGGGTCCCTGAGGAGGGCTTCTGCCCAAGGATGTTACAACAGAGTCCCGCTAGCCTTTCTCTCTGAGGCTGGGGTGTTCTTGCTTCAAATTGATTCTCGGGCTCAGCTGTTTGAGTAGTTGTGGCTGTAGATTGAGAATCTGTCTTGGTGTCTGTGCTGGCATCGGTGTTAACAGGGGTAGTCCTGCCCCGAGTGCTCGTTGGTGTGGGTTCAACCAGATCTGTTGCATGGGGCGGTGCCATGTGAACAGGCCACACCACCGATGACACGACGACCCCGCCGCCATGCCTCTCTGGGAGATTGTCGGGTGAAACCGAGAGGGGCATCCCCAGAATGGGAAGTGAGGCCCCACCCACTGGGTGTGTTGACCGGAAACAGATGTGTTGAGGGGTGGAAGGTGGAGAGGGAGAGAGGGGATGAGGTGATGGGGAAGGGAACTGGGAAGAAGGTGCGGCTGGAAGGGTGCCTGTTGCTGCATGCTCTGGAGGACCTCAAGGGGTGGACGTCACATCTCGCTCAGTGTAGTCCAGGAGGTGGGCGGGGCAATTGGGGGCAGTGCAATTGGGGGCGACGTTTTCGCTCGGACTCAACTTTATTCGCATCCGACTTTGAGCTCTCTTGCTGTTTACCTGTTCTGTTTTTCTCGACTCATCAGAAGTGGCGTTGTTGGGCTGCAGACTCACAGCTCCCACCTCAATCTTCCGACCTTTCTTCGTAATTGGAACATCAACTCTCTTGCCTCTCCTTCTCCCTCGTTTTGGTCTCCCAGGGGTTCTTTCAGCCTTTCCAGACTGCTCCACCTCCGCTGGCTGACTGGAACCAGTTTTACTATGGTCTGCCTCCATCCTCTTGTCCTTGTCTGCAGGTTTGGAACCAAGCCAGCCTCTAGTTCGTGATCCTATACTATACATGTGCGCATGCGCATTTGCGGTTATCGACACGAGATCGAGAAGAACAGATATGGATTCTTCCACTGGTGAGTATGTTTGTGTGGAGCGAGTAGTCTCGCTGAGTCTTGCTGGCTAGCGAGAGGGATCCGCTGCGAGTGCAAGTGCTAAAGTAAAATTAGCTAACTCCGTCTGGACTCTTCCACTATTTTGTGTCAGGCGAGTAGGCTAGCGAGACTAGTGCTAGGGGTGAGCGCATGGGGCAGCGGTGTAGTCGGCGGGTCGGCGTACACGGACTCGAAAGGCAAAACACAACTCTCCGGGAGCCCTCTCTGTCAGCAACAACAGCTTCACTTTTTCCGCGTCTAGTTTTATGGAGTCAGCTTTTTATGTACTCGCATGTCGAACTAGATGTTGCAGGGGAAGATAAGAGAGTATTTGAGCATTTCCTTCATGCATGATGACTGAACCACGCTAGGTTGGTGGGGGGAAATGGTTTCGTAGCCGCTACCCGTATCTCTAACCACATGCTGGCCTGTGAACCCTGGCAGGTGTTGCCAGATGTTCTCATGAGAGCACTTTGAGCAGCAACTTTCTTTTTTCAGGCTCTGTGTGTGCTGATAATGGCACAGAAGAGACCAGAGAAGAATCCAAGGTTGAGGGTGAGTGTGAATTTACTGAGAGTGAGTGTGATGATGATTTTGAGGGTGAGTCAGGGGATAGTTGGGAGAGTGAGTCCAATGACAACGACTCACTCTATATTCCCACACCTATTCGCGAAAAAAAGGCTCGCCCTATTGATTTGCCCAATAAATTGGGTTTTATTGCCTTGCCTCAATTGGGGAAATTTTTAGAAATGATGAATGAGGCTCGGGGCTGCAAAACCCCTGGTTGTAAGGGAAATGTAGTTCCCACACATGTGCACAGCCAAGGGTTGGGTGGCACATTTTCCATTAGTTGTTGTTGTGATGGGTGTGCCATGAATCCTATGGTACTTGATACATGTATGAAGAATGAGAAACAGTGTGGGAACACAAATGCTGTGGGCATGTGTGTTCAAATTGCCTTTATCATTGCTGGTAGTACTCATGCTGTCTACTACAAGACGCTGAAGCATGCCCTAGGGATCGATGCTGTGTGTATGGATGTTTTTATGGATACAATATATTACATGTATCCTGTTGTAAAATCGATGCTTGACGATATATGTGAGGCCGCCAAGCAGGAAATGAAAGATAAAAAAGAGGACGAGCTCGGGTCATGGAAACGTGCAGTAACTGTTGCTGATGGTACGTGGCAAACGCGTGGCTGGCATAGCAAAAATGCCACATTCACCATCAGGAACTACCTGAATGGGGCTCTCCTCTATTATCATCATCTCTGCCAAAGGGGCAGAGACAATGTTATAGAGGAAGAGTTGTACAAGGGCACGTCCAAGTCAGCCGAAGGGTATGCTGCCCGCCTGACATTTCGAAGGGCCAAAGAGGAGGGAAATGCAGGTTGCCGTCCACTGGCAGGACGCTGACTCCTCCTCGGCCAAGGCAGTCAGTGATGTGTTTCCTGATGCCGAAATAATGGTCTGTGGCGGACATGCTGGGCGTGCCCACAAGAAAATTCTTGAATTACGTCACAAAATGAAAAAGGTGTCAAAGACGATGATACAAAAGTACAAAGATACTTTTCCTGCTCTGGATGAGCTCCGCTGTAAATGTGAGGGGGGCAACCACAGTCCTACATGTGGGTGCTTGAATCCACCTTTTATTTCCAAAGCGCACACAAATTTCTCATCTATTCTGATGGAGGCTCAGTCACAGGAGGAATTTGTGAAACGCCTGGAAGCACTGCCTAAACATGCACGTGACATTCACGAGTGGGAGGGAGGAAGTTGTGATTTCCACCCACTTCGGGTGTGCTCGTGCAAAAAGTGTAGCGACAAGCAACAAATAGAGTGTGAGGGAAAACCTTACAAAACCAGAATGAAGCTAGATTGTGAATTTCATGCACTGTTGTATGAGATTGAATGCACAGAGAGAGCTGCACAGGCCAGCAAGCTGGTTCACCCCATCCTCAAACGTGGCCACTCTAATGCAGTTGAAGCCTCTCACAATGTATTGATCAGGTTTAGGTCCAAAGATATCTACTTGGAGAGGCTTCACTACCACGTTTCCACCAATATAGGGCTGCTTCAAGCTAACATGACTTACATGAACGCAAAGTTTGGTACTAGTTATCATTGGCTCCCAGAGTTGTACCAACGCATGAAGCTCCCTGTTTTTGAGGGAGTTGTTGAAGCACTGGAGTGCCATAATGAAAGGAGAAAGAGGAGGCTTCAAGAGGCTAAGTGCACTCCTCAGAAGAAAAGAAGGACACAGTTGAAAAGGAAGCGGTTTGCCGAAGCAGTAGAGCGCATCAAATGGTCCAAGAAACATGGGCATGATACGTACTTCGGCGGTAGTGATGTTGAAATGGCAGGTGACTCTGATGACGGGGTGAACCAGACAGAAAGGAAAGGGCACGGAGTCATGGCAAGGGAACCCAGGGAAGCGAAGTGTATCTGCATGTGATATATCGGAAGCATACGCTCCTCACGCTAGCACAGTCGAAAGAGCAGTGAGAGATCGGCAAAAAGAGGCTGGAGAGGTGAATGCCCACGCATGCGATAGGAATTAAGGGTGCGGCAGCGCGCGCGCGATTCCACATGCAGTACACTTCTCTTTCCCCTGGGGGTTCCCCTTGCCATGACTCCTGCCCTTTCCTTTCTTCTGGTTCACCCCGTCATCAGAGTCACCTGCCATTTCAACATCACTACCGCCGAAGTACGTATCATGCCCATGTTTCTTGGACCATTTGATGCGCTCTACTGCTTCGGCAAACCGCTTCCTTTTCAACTGTGTCCTTCTTTTCTTCTGAGGAGTGCACTTAGCCTCTTGAAGCCTCCTCTTTCTCCTTTCATTATGGCACTCCAGTGCTTCAACAACTCCCTCAAAAACAGGGAGCTTCATGCGTTGGTACAACTCTGGGAGCCAATGATAACTAGTACCAAACTTTACGTTCATGTAAGTCATGTTAGCTTGAAGCAGCCCTATATTGGTGGAAACGTGGTAGTGAAGCCTCTCCAAGTAGATATCTTTGGACCTAAACCTGATCAATACATTGTGAGAGGCTTCAACTGCATTAGAGTGGCCACGTTTGAGGATGGGGTGAACCAGCTTGCTGGCCTGTGCAGCCCTCTCTCTGCATTCAATCTCATACAACAGTGCATGAAATTCACAATCTAGCTTCATTCTGGTTTTGTAAGGCTTTCCCTCACACTCTATTTGTTGCTTGTCGCTACACTTTTTGCACGAGCACACCCGAAGTGGGTGGAAATCACAACTTCCTCCCTCCCACTCGTGAATGTCACGTGCATGTTTAGGCAGTGCTTCCAGGCGTTTCACAAATTCCTCCTGTGACTGAGACTCCATCAGAATAGATGAGAAATTTGTGTGCGCTTTGGAAATAAAAGGTGGATTCAAGCACCCACACGTAGGACTGTGGTTGCCCCCCTCACATTTACAGCGGAGCTCACCCAGAGCAGGAAAAGTATCTTTGTACTTTTGTATCATCGTCTTTGACACTTTTTTCATTTTGTGACGTAATTCAAGAATTTTCTTGTGGGCACGCCCAGCATGTCCGCCACAGACCATTATTTCGGCATCAGGAAACACATCACTGACTGCCTTGGCCGAGGAGGAGTCAGCGTCCTGCCAGTGGACGGCAACCTGCATTTCCTCCTCTTTGGCCCTTCGAAATGTCAGGCGGGCAGCATACCCTTCGGCTGACTTGGACGTGCCCTTGTACAACTCTTCCTCTATAACATTGTCTCTGCCCCTTTGGCAGAGATGATGATAATAGAGGAGAGCCCCATTCAGGTAGTTCCTGATGGTGAATGTGGCATTTTTGCTATGCCAGCCACGCGTTTGCCACGTACCATCAGCAACAGTTACTGCACGTTTCCATGACCCGAGCTCGTCCTCTTTCTTATCTTTCATTTCCTGCTTGGCGGCCTCACATATATCGTCAAGCATCGATTTTACAACAGGATACATGTAATATATTGTATCCATAAAAACATCCATACACACAGCATCGATCCCTAGGGCATGCTTCAGCGTCTTGTAGTAGACAGCATGAGTACTACCAGCAATGATAAAGGCAATTTGAACACTCATGCCCACAGCATTTGTGTTCCCACACTGTTTCTCATTCTTCATACATGTATCAAGTAGCATAGGATTCATGGCACACCCATCACAACAACAACTAATGGAAAATGTGCCACCCAACCCTTGGCTGTGCACATGTGTGGGAACTACATTTCCCTTACAACCAGGGGTTTTGCAGCCCCGAGCCTCATTCATCATTTCTAAAAATTTCCCCAATTGAGGCAAGGCAATAAAACCCAATTTATTGGGCAAATCAATAGGGGGAGCCTTTTTTTCGCGAATAGGTGTGGGAATATAGAGTGAGTCGTTGTCATTGGACTCACTCTCCCAACTATCCCCTGACTCACCCTCAAAATCATCATCACACTCACTCTCAGTAAATTCACACTCACCCTCAACCTTGGATTCTTCTCTGGTCTCTTCTGTGCCATTATCAGCACACACAGAGCCTGAAAAAAGAAAGTTGCTGCTCAAAGTGCTCTCATGAGAACATCTGGCAACACCTGCCAGGGTTCACAGGCCAGCATGTGGTTAGAGATACGGGTAGCGGCTACGAAACCATTTCCCCCCCACCAACCTAGCGTGGTTCAGTCATCATGCATGAAGGAAATGCTCAAATACTCTCTTATCTTCCCCTGCAACATCTAGTTCGACATGCGAGTACATAAAAAGCTGACTCCATAAAACTAGACGCGGAAAAAGTGAAGCTGTTGTTGCTAGCATCAACGCGCGCCAACTCTGACAGAGAGGGCTCCCGGAGAGTTGTGTTTTGCCTTTCGAGTCCGTGTACGCCGACCCGCCGACTACACCGCTGCCCCATGCGCTCACCCCTAGCACTAGTCTCGCTAGCCTACTCGCCTGACACAAAATAGTGGAAGAGTCCAGACGGAGTTAGCTAATTTTACTTTAGCACTTGCACTCGCAGCGGATCCCTCTCGCTAGCCAGCAAGACTCAGCGAGACTACTCGCTCCACACAAACATACTCACCAGTGGAAGAATCCATATCTGTTCTTCTCGATCTCGTGCCGATAACCGCAAATGCGCATGCGCACATGTATAGTATAGGATCACGAACTAGAGGCTGGCTCTGGTTCCAAACCTGCAGAGAAAGACAAGAGGATGGAGGCAGACGATAGTAAAACCGGTTCCAGTCAGTCAGCGGAGGTGGAGCAGTCTGGAAAGGCTGAAAGAACCCCTGGGAGACCAAAACGAGGGAGAAGGAGAGGCAAGAGAGTTGATGTTCCAATTACGAAGAAAGGTCGGAAGATTGAGGTGGGAGCTGTGAGTCTGCAGCCCAACAACGCCACTTCTGATGAGTCGAGAAAAACAGAACAGGTAAACAGCAAAGAGAGCTCAAAGTCGGATGCGAATAAAGTTGAAGTCCGAGCGAAAACCTCGCCCCCAATTGCACTGCCCCCAATTGCCCCACCCACCTCCCTGGACTACACTGAGCGAGATGTGACTCCACCCCTTGAGGTCCTCCAGAGCATGCAGCAACAGGCACCCTTCCAGCCGCCCTTCTTCCCAGTTCCCTTCCCCATCACCTCCTCCCCTCTCTCCCTCTCCACCTTCCACCCCTCAACACATCTGTTTCCCGGTCAACACCCAGTGGGTGGGGCCTCACTTCCCATTCTGGGGATGCCCCTCTCGTTTCCCCCGACAATCTCCCAGAGAGGCATGGCCGGCGGGGTCGTCGTGTCATCGGTGGTGTGGCCTGTTCACATGGCACCTGCCCCATGGCAACAGATCTGGTTGAACCCACACCAACGAGCACTCGGGGCAGGGACTACCCCTGTTAACACCGATGCCAGCACAGACACCAAGACAGATTCTCAATCTACAGCCACAACTACTCAAACAGCTGAGCCCGAGAATCAATTTGAAGCAAGAACACCCCAGCCTCAGAGAGAAAGGCTAGCGGGACTCTGTTGTAACATCCTTGGGCAGAAGCCCTCCTCAGGGACCCTTGGTGTCAGCTGAGCTCGTGACGGGCCGCTTCGCCCGCCGCTTTCCAGAGCCACACAGCGCAGTGCAGGAGCAGTGAGATCCAAACATGCAGAGCGGTGCAGGAGCAAAGCGGTCCTAACCAAGCCCAGATCGTGGTGGGACTCAGCAACTGCTTATAATACAATGCAAGAGCAAGGAGACCCAAACACTATGCTTTTACTTACGTGATATGGGCTGGGAAGAGTTATATGACTATACACCATGCATGGCTCTAATATTTATTAACTGAAGGATCACCTTTTGTGAATGTATATATAATATTATTTTAGACATGAGTAGCGCCAACGGTGAAACTGAGAGTGAAGAATTTGGGTCGGCCCCTTCAACTACAGAGCTAATGAGGGCGAGACTCTGCCCACGAGGTAGGGCAGGACAACACCTGGTACCTGTCATCAAGAAAAGAAGAACAAGCCGAGGAAGAGGGGTGGTTACGAGTGACAAGAGGCGACTTAGAGCAGAGGAGGAGGACAAGAAAGAAGTGAAACAAATGAAAGATGAAGCGAGTGCTAAATAAAATATGGAGGGTGGTGATGGGGATAACGGAGACACACACAAGAAAATCCACACACTCAAGAGGACAGATTTGTCGTACCTAATCACAGCTGCCTCCAAAGACTGTAGTAAAGACTGCAGTGATTGGGATCAAGAAAGTGCCAGATCTCTAGAAACAGAGTACCCGAAACCCTCATCAAACTATCAGAAAACCCAGCGGAGACTTGCCCGGCAGAAGCAGCTGGATGACATGTGCACCGGAGAGGCTGCTCTGGCACGAGCGGAGAGACTCAAGAGGAGGCAAGGCTTGTTACCACCCTCTAAGAAATCACGTGAATGTAGAGTCATGTGGAAAGAGGAGAGTAGTTTAGTCGAGGTTTTTCGGTACTCTCCGTGTCCCTCATCTCGAGGAAGCACACTCGAACCAGAGGAGCTGGATTTGAATCAGTAGGTCATCTCCTATATACCTCTCTCTCTCTGACGTTTCTATAGTCAAGAGTGTTTCTCATTTTTATTGCAGTGCATTTTTGTCTACCAAAGTACATAGTTCAGCAAAGTCCTCAGTTATCTTCTGGTTAATTCACTCAATGGGCATGTGGCTTATCTCTGCACATGCATGCATCACCGCGTTGCAAGATATCCCCTATAGCACAATTAAGATTAACCCCGTATTTTTAATCGCCGCCTGCACATGTGCTGCGCCAAGCGTTTGTTGGCAGCTGAACTCAGCTGTGGTGCAATAATCATGCACCTTTATAGTATATAGTCGACACACTCTGTCTTTCTCTTTTTTTAACGTAATAGCGCGCATGTGCAGATAAAAAAGTCGCCTATCATACGCTGAAAGTGCTACAAGACACTGATCTCTGGATTTGATGTGCAAGAAGACAGTCTACTGGTGTTAGAAGGTATAGTCTGTCACTGGCCACTGGTGAGTCGAAAATTCCTTCATTGGTAAAGGAAGTGGCCCCTTACTACAGTGGAAACTCCAAATAATGGACAGATTGGGACCAGGAATTTTGTCCTTCATATATAGGGAGGTTGTCCTCTCTTCAGGTTAAAAATGTAGTAAATATTTGGGATGTCCTTTTTTCTACTGTGTCCTTTATTCGGAATGTCCGTATCGGAGGTTCTACTGTGAACGTCTTTTTGATGTGCTGGGGGCAATCGTCATTAAGAGGATGTTTAAGCATAAAAAACACACATGTCCATGGACATTGCATAAGCAAGGACATAATTATTATGCACAAACAAAAATCAGGATGTGGGTGACGACAATCAGATGATCAGATTGGATGATGTAGTCGGAGTCAGAGTTAGAACACATGGCTAATCAGTGTACGTTGTCCCCCGAGCTCTCGTACTTGCTAATTGCAAACATGCTTGTTTTGTGCATTTTATTTTGAGCTCCTTGAGCCTAATTGAAAGCTTGCATGTTTCTCTTACCTGTATTAGCCCTAATTGGAAACATGCTTATTTTGAGCTCCTTGAGCCTAATTGAGACCATGGGAGCTTGTAAACATGTTTCTCTTCTGCATTTCACCAGTATATTGAGGTATTAGAGCTTCCATACTTGCTAATTGGAAACGTGGTTGTGTTCTGCATTGTCTAATCACATATGGATGGAAAGGTCCATTCTCCCTCCCTCCCTCCCTCTCTCTAGCACCTGGAATGAAATCAGGAGTAGCCAGGAACCATCCTCCACAGATGGTTTTCGTCCATTACTTTTATAGTGGGAGGACTCTTCAGCTGGCCCCACTCCTAATGCACATGGCAATCATAAAATCATACTTGGACCGTCAGCAGAGAACAGTTTTGAGGTCCTAGAGCCTAATTGAGACCACAGGAGCTTGCAAACGTTTTGTTTCCTATAATGCTCAGTCCTCTCCCCTCGGATACAATGCTCTCTCCTCTGCAAGAACCTCCGATACGGACATTCCAAATAAAGGGAAAAAAAGCATTGTATCCGAGGGGAGAGGACTGTAGGTCGAGGGGGGAGGAGAGAGCATTGTATCCGAGAGCAGCTTGGGACACACCACCAGCCTTTGTCAATGATGTATTATCGTCAGTCAGAAAAAGGGGCAACTGGTCCTACAAAATCTGCAGACGTAGATGTAAAAAACTGTATGCTATGATGTGAGAAAACTACATTTATTCAGGGAGAAGCCAGTGAATGTACACTAATTTAGTAATGAAAGAACCTAGATGTGATGGTGAGCACTTCCTATCACTCACAGTGTCAGTCTGGTGTTTTTCCAGTGACGATTACGAGATCGAGAGTGGGCAAGGCAACGACACTGCCTCTGTTCAAAGAGGTAGACAGACAGAACACCGGCCGTCGAAAGTCCTCACGACAGAGAGGCTCGTCTTTTTCAGCGACGACAAAGAATGCCAAGTATTTCCACTAGTTATAAAGTGTCGTGTTTCAGGGGTGTATCCTTGTAATTTGTATATAGTATATACCTTCACTCTGAGTCCCTCTCCCACCTCAGTAGGCAGAGAGGCTAATATCAATACTGCATACTACCAAAACATTCATAATAAACATGATGTCATTGTATAATTACACTGATACATACCCAATACACAGAGGACTTGTGCTTCAGATGGGCAATTTGGTCAGTTTTCTCAGACGCAAGTTTTGAGGGTAGCTCTTCCTTCCTGGTAAGCCTGGAAAAAAAGAGAGAAGAAAGGGGAGAGGACAGAGAAGAGAGATAGTGAATGGAAGTTGTCAACACCATATGACACTGCAGTAAGCCCTCGTCTAGGATTAAGACTGCATTGTGAACAACCCTATACCCTGTGCAATACACTTACAGTTTCATTTTGAAAATGGTAATGTGATTCAGTCGGCCACCCTAGGCCTTGAACACACACAACAGGAGCACCCCAATGAAGGGAGGGGTGTGTGCCCACTGGGTGGTGTTACAGGGTCATCATCCGGGCTAAAAATTATAGGTCCCCCCAAAACCTATTATTTGGTTAGCAAGAAATGCCAGCTTAGCCAGGGATGCTAGCCCTCCCTTATATACTAAAAGTGAGCAGGAACTGTTGTGGTTTTTATCATTGCTGCCAATCTATATGGGAGTGGCCTCACAAGTAGTTAACCATAGACCACAGAGCCACACTATAATATCCTGTATTGCTGTACTTTAGTAGTAAGGATAAGGGCAAGAATATGAGGCATGGAGCTATGGTTACAGGATACATTGTGCACGTGAAAGTGTGACCCACAGCAACGCAGAATGTGGCGCCTACTGCCCTACCTGTGCCGAGACAGTCACAAGCTGTCTTACACAGGCATTACTGGACAGTCCTTTTAGGCTCAGTTCTACATACCTACAACCAGTAGTACGTGTAGTGTTTCTCTGATCTCTGTGCCACTCACCAATTACAGTAGAAAGTAATGTCATTCAATGTCTGCCATGTGTGTAAGTACACATCTACACCACTGACTCTGATGGTGATCAGAGTGTGAAAAGACGTGTATACGATAGCCTTGTCCGTAGGCTCAGGAGTGTTCAGGTGTAAGTTTTGGGTTTGGAAAAGTAACCCTAGGACGAGGCTTGGATGTTTTGTTTGTATACAGCATCGCCAGACTCATTGGATATGGACATGCAGCAAAAGTATCTGGAGGCCACAGAATTCCTTGGAGATTATAAATGCATGTGCATACAGTCTGCACAAGGCTCTTTTCCCCTCTCACAAAGGAGGCTGGGGACGAGGCTAGTGCATACGAGTGTGTATGTCTACTGCGCCGGCAACCTAGCCACAATCACTCTTAGAGCATGTGCTATATAGCACAAAGCCCTTACACATACAAAATAGGACATAATAATTATGGATCCAGACAATGAGTCTTGCGATGCTATATGTGTGGGCCGGAGCTGCCACATGCAAACTTTATAATAGATAAAGACCCACCACTAGGGCTCTCCATAGTTATTGGCCAGTGACAGGACAGTAGTAGACCTGTTGGTTGAACCAGGAACCTTCTTCTGCTGAATGGAACCAGAGAGACGGACAGACAGAGATAGAGGTAGAGAGAGGAAAAGAGGACGACAAGGGAAAGGGAGAGACGAGTCAAGTCCCCATGGTACAAATGGCAACGGCAATTACAATTTCGCAGTTTGGTTGATAAAGAAGGTTGCATATTTCGTGACTCTCACATGAAGTAACAACCATAAAGAACACGCAGCATGCAAGAACTGCTATTATAGAGAGGTCAGGGGTGTCCTTGAGGTATGATGGAGCTTCAAGTCCTCATCGAACCAAAAATCAATTTTTAGGACAAGAAAGCAAACATATCTATGCATTCTCTGACTTACTCCTTTTTCTTTGTTCTTCCAAGCCTTGCTTGCTCAGCGACACACTGAAAGAAACAGGAGAAAGAAAGCATGAGAAAGTATACATTATAGCTTATATCATACCGAAGGCTAGTTGTCTGAATTGCACGGTTTTCCACAGTGCAGTACTTATCGCACATGAAAATACACACACACACACATTCACTCGCCAAAAATGCTTGATCTAGTACAGAGCAAACCACCAATTATTAGCACTCTCAATTATCCAACGGCTACAGCAACACACCAGCAACAACAGTTTCTTGTTTGCCAGTTTGTAGCACGATATCATGCTCCTACATCTCAAAAGCACACGCCTGCGACACTCGGTATAAAATTTGGACAGAGAGCTTGCATTTGACAAGGTAGCATGTCAGTGGGGTTGAGACTCACCAGTAGCAGCAGAGGAGTGTAGGGCTGGCCAAGTATTGGTAATCATTTCCTCATCATCGCTGATAAGAATGGGACCCTGATCCTGCAGGATTGATTAGCACACAAACCCTTATTAGCGTGACATGCCCAGACGTAGCATGCATGTATTCCACCTTCCATAAATATGGCTGTCTACTTTGTATCTGTAGGCTTGCCTATGTCTTCCAATTCTTACTCTCTGCAAGAGAATTTAGGTGGAGGCTCCACAAACACAGAATTTTCTCTTTATCGCATCATGCAGAGTACCCGCCCGATTGACATGGCTGCCTACAGAGAGCTCTAGCAACTATTGCGAGTGGATTTAAGTGCTCAAAAGGTTATGTCATGTGATATATAGCTGACATCAGGTCTATATATCACATGACATTGACCAACCTCTTGCAAGAACTTCTAGGTCAAACACTGAATGCAGACTCAACTTACTAGTGGCCTTTAGCATCGGCAGAGTGGTTAGTGAAGGGCTCTATTCCTTGGCTCCTTTCAGGCTATATGTACAAGGAAGAGGGAGGAGAGGGGGAGGGAGAGAGGAGTATAATAGTCAGCACATTACGAGATCTACCACCCCATTTGGGCCTCCCCTCTATATAGTTCCCAGAGAGGGTAAATAATATGTAAACAGAGTGTATTGGAGAGAGACTATTTTGTATGCACACAGGACGTACAGTACTGAGCTGTCAAGGAAGCTCTCTATATTGTGCACACCGACGATCTGAATTGAACTGCACATGTGCAAAATTTTGACCGGATCGGATACTATAGCCGAACTTTGACCTCTATAGGCCGACGGTGCACAATCCATATGCAATCCAAGGACACTTCAGTAATCAGGACACCCGAGAGCAGGACAATTCACTAATCAGGACACCTGAGAGCAGGAAAGCAGAGTTTGAGTCAGCAGCCTTACGACGGAGCGTTCCCCATCAGAAAGAGAGAGATAGCACTCCTGGAGACATGGGACAAAACACTCGGAAATAATGGGGCACAGTCTCAGTTGATGAGACGTCACTGAACAGAATCGTCCTTGAGCGGAAAGGCACACGAGTTGGTTAGAGTCGGCATCGGAGGTGATAAACTCGCGGGATGCTGCTCGGAGTCCAGTGGTGGGAGACTGTCAGGGCAGTTGGTTCCCCCTCTGCTGCAGCTCTGTAAAGTAAAAAATCAAAGTCAAAGCATCATTTCTGCCCTCTTCGGGCAATACACAAAGCGATAGTGACAAAAGACAGAAATAGTGATAATTGGCGAGCGGGACCGAGCCAACCTAGTCGTTCGTTCGAGCGGAATTTTCTATATATATAATATATATATATATATATCTACGACCGTCGTCGTACGTCGTGTAAGTGCGCTTGCGCATCTTTAAACGCGCTTCTTTTTATCCGAAACTATTTCCAAATTTTTTACACATTTTCACACACGGTGCCTCGCGATATGCGCCAATCGGTCTATATAGCCAGCTAGAAAACTCTCCTCCATTCGACGGCATGCGCTGCAACCTTCGGTGACTGACCGAGGCTGTACCTCTTCCCAATCTTCATGGTTCCAAGCTGCAACGTGCAAATACGCTAGGATTGCTCGTGCACATACTGCTGCATGCCAGCTACCTGGTGGACCAGCTAACACACACCGCGTTGTCGGGCAGCCCGATCGATCGCTGCCTAGCCTACTGCCATGCCAGCTGCCTGGTGGACCACGACAGACGAACTGAAAGCCTAAGGTAAGGACCGTTCTGCTCACCGTTCTGCCAATATACAGTACGCATGTAAACGGCGACAGGTAGCTCTGTCTTGCTTCACGAAAGGAAAGCTGTGCGCTGACAGCACGTTATGCAGCCCGAACATCGCGGTCAAATCCCAAGTTGGGTCGCTCCCGCTCGCCAACAATGTTCAACATTGTTCTAGTATTTGCACTGGTGGGTAGGTGTTAGAACTTCATGGACGTGATGGCTTCAGCAAACGTGAAAATGGAACAGAGTTGTATCACAGTGGGACGCGTGATTACAAGAGATCGACGAGACATAAGCAGAGGGTGGAGGAGAACCCAGGCTTGTCCCTTCTCCACTGAGGACTGTCCCTCCTCCACCCAGGAGTAAAATTAAATACAGTCTGAAGCAGCAGCAAATAACAGGACTAAACGATCCCCATCAAGTGTGCCTGATGCGGAATATACTCCACACCATCTGTGGAAGTTGCTGCAAGGTACGCCCAAACCATAATCCACAAGAGGAAAGGCTATGAAGAAAACTATCACGAACGTAAACAGAAAAAGACCTCGTGTTAATGGACTCGCCCAACAACTGCTGGGGTTTGTGGGAAAGGATTGGTGTGGAGTCTTTAAAAGACAAGTGTACATTTCTCTAGTATCATTAAATGATGGGAGTCACGCAGCCTAAGCAGCGGGTGAAGGAAGAAGCATCCATTATTAATTAAAAATTCAATACACCCGAGTTGCACTGTGTGGCAGTGGTTACCCTACACACTGTATAAATGACTCACTTCTAAATCCAGCATACAACTCTAACGCGCAAACGTGACAACGGCAGCATAACTCAGAAAGGTCCCTCCTACACCCAGGAGTAGCAATGGTACTCCACATAGTCTGTCGAAGTTGCTGCAAAATATGCTCAAACCATAATCCACAAGAGGAAAGGCTACGAAGAAAACGTAAACATAAAAACACCTCGTTGCTAACGTAAACATAGAAACACCTCGTTAAATGACAAGTGTACGATCGCTGGTGGTGGCAGAGGGGAAGGTTACTGATTAGTGAGTTGAGCAGTTACGTTGTCGCGCCAATTAATAATCACACATTGTATGCAGCACAGGGCCCAAATCCAAGCTCTTCAAAAACACCGAATATATATAGCCTTAGTGGCAACTACTGACTGCGCAGTGACAATGAATAATGCATAAAACCCATTCAGCGGCCAGTCACGAGCAAGCAGCTATACATTATATACCGACCGCGTTCGCATGGAACCCGCAAGTAGACATTCTTTGCTCCTTTTCCCCTTCTTCCTGACGCTCTGCTGTGCAGTCAGGACTCTGGAGGCGGCTGGCAACTGCAGCTGGCCAGTGAAATGGGTCGACTACGGAGGAGGACCGAAAGACATCGAACGCAATGATATTTCCCGAAGAACGTGGTGGGCTAGGAACACCGCCGCCCACGGCGAGCTGACAGACTGCGCCACGCTTGAGTGGACACTCAGCACAGACGGCTGCACAGAGAGCTGCCCCGTCCACGCAGACCGGGAGACCTCCTCTCTGGAGTACTGCTGCACCAGCGGGCCCAACCCAGCCGCCGTCCCCGCCAACCAAAAGAGACTTCTACTACATTGCAGGTTGGAGCAGCTCTCAAACCCTCCGCGAAAGAGCGCTGGAGAGGTCAACTGACACGTGCGTACTACAGTAGTTTCGTGTCGTATGTAGTAGAGTATAGTAGAGTAGAGTATAGTGGAGTGTTGCACTGCGAGTTGAATGTTCTCTCTCTCTCTGCCTCTCTCCGTTTGCCATACAACGGTCACAGTGCTCTACACGACAATCGGGATGCAGTACTTGGCGCAGGCGGACATTGGGTGCTCTAACTCCACCGGCAGTTGGGAGGCCAGTGTCCTACGCTACATAGCATCGAGTCTGGACCAAGTGTTTGTGGTGGGGAATTGGACAGAGAATGAGGATACTAGAAACTCGTGTTCTGTTGTCTCAGCCCCCAGCTGGCTACTGAACTAGGAACCACTTCCGACTCCATTTACCACTGTGTAGGTTAGTCAGTAAGGCAGACACTGTACCTTCGTGAGCAGTTTAAGGGAATGTGCCATATATTATATATAAGGGCTAAATTTAGAAATTACTCAAGTATGTCTTGCATTATATTAGGTGTGTATGCTGCAAAAACGAAAAGACTTGTTCCTTTGGGCCGTGCTATGAATTTTCACTCCATATCCATGGCATTTTCATTCTCAGGTGCTCTGCTTTTACCAAACATGCAGTAATAGTAATGTATGTACACAGCAAGATCTGGACATGTACATACATTGCAAATTAGGATGTGTGTACACATTACATACTTTGTAAAAATTATGTAGGGTGACCTCAGTCAATAGGGTACTGAAGGTGATGCATAGAGTCCACAAGTTTTCAGAAAAAGACCTTTGTTTTATACATCAAGCTCTATTATTAAATTCACCAAAGAAATTATCTGAGTAAAATGAGATAGCTACAGCTAGGACAATCTTGGAAAGATTTATACACTACTTGAGAGGGTTTACGAAGCAAACTTGGCAAACAGAGGGGTTTACTGGATCTGCCAAAGTTTGCTACCTGCATCAAGTACCAAATGTAACATCGAAACACACAGTGTAGCCACGCTACGAAGAAAAACAATTGTTAACGTAAACATAGAAACACCTAGATAACGTAAAACATAGAAACACCTCGTTAAATGACAAGTGTACAATCGCTGGTGGTGGCAGAGGGGAAGGTTATTGATTAGTCAGTTGAGCAGTTACGTTGTCGCGCCAATTTATAATCACACATTGTATGTGTCGCAGGGCTCAAATCCAAGCTCTTCAATATATATAGCTTGAGATGGGATGACTGTCCTTGCAAGGTGTTGCAGTGTCTATCTTGCTGCTGTAAACAATTTGCACCTAAATGGGCAAAAATGTGTCATTCGTTCTATATTATAGTACACCCTGTTTCTCTCTCGGCAGGAACGCCAAAGCCACCGCTGCCCACCACAGCCCCACCAACAACAGAAGGAACCACCAGACCGAACAAACCGGGAGGAGGAGATAACCAGAACGTGGCGGGGGTGGCGATACGATCGGCAGTTCCAGCGAGCTACTCACATCACTGTTGCAACAGACACTCCTCACAACTCCCTCCTCCTATTCCTCCTGCTCGACATGTCACACTACACATCACAAATGTCTGTCCATCTCACTACATACTCACACCAGTGAAATACTAAAAAGAGCAAGTCCATTTTTGTTCCCACAAACAAACTTGTCCGTCTATGTCCTTTTTTGACAGCATCTGCTCTAATTTTATGCTTTTGTGTGTATATTATTTTATATGCATTGGTATGTCGCTTTGTGTATCTACTTTTGTCGTTTGATTTACTTAAAATAATCTGGTGTTTTACCATGCATGCATTGGTTGTGCTGCACCTTGCAGTGTTGCTGAGGGTTTGGAAGATTAGTCATGTCACAAGGTAAGATGTCATCTATATTATTATCACGATCGAGTTTTGTGTCTGGAGTGTGTGTCTGGAAAAGGTTGGACTTTTGTTTGGTTGTGGATCGTTGGGTCGCGATCTTGAGAGATATTATTACTGACAGTCTCTGTCATCATCTGTGTTGGTTGTTGTTTGATACAAGTCCAGCAAAAAATACACGTCCTTTTTATTCATTTTTGCCTACGTATATACAGACTTTGTGGGGATGGAGCGATGCGTCTGGCTCGTGAACTCTCCTGGAATTCAAGGAAAAGTCCAGTGCAAATTGAACCAGCTTGATGCCAGTATACACCCGGTGGATCAATGGATCTGCCATTAAAATCACATTCCCAAAGATCGATGAGAGTGCAAAAAGATGAATGAGTGTGCACTAGGATCAAGTGCACATCCATCCTTGACTATCAGTGCACATCACTCAATTGTGCTTGGACCATGAGAGTGCAATTGATAGAGAGTGCACTAGGATCAATGTGGCACAAATTAGAGGCTGTTGACTGAAGCACAAATTACAGTGTCCTTGACTTTTTTTTGTCCATTGTTTTAAATACATTTTGTCTGTTTCGGTGCGCAGTATATACACCTGCAAGAAAAGTGGTTCTACAGAGCCAACACAATGAAGCAAGCACGGGTTCAGTTGCTTCTCTCTCATTATATGCAACCAACTTTAATTTAAATTTAATAAACTGTCTTCCCCACAACCTGCGAAGTTGAGATGGCCGATTATGTGCCGAGTAATGTTCGTAGTAGGGGAAGTTAAGAATCAATTATTGTAAGTGTAAGTTTAGTTCTTTCCAGAAGCGGAAATTAAACACCCCCTTCCCGGCTGATTCTACCACCCCCTCAGCCATCTTGTCCGGCAACTCCTAGCTCCCAACGAGTTCGGAGTCGTCTCCTGAGTCTATCAGAGAGCGGCGAGTTTGAGTTCATTGACGAGGAGGGACATCCCCTCAGCGCCGCCACAATATCGACGACGTCATCCGAAATAGCTCTGAGTGATGATAGAGAGGACCAGATGGGCTCATCCGCAGCCAGCAAGACTATACTAGGACACTACCAAAGAAGAAGAGTCATTCGGTGAAGCAAAAGCGGAGGGAGCAGTGGCGGTGTTAATAACAGAGTGGAATTGGAGGGGCATCTGAGCAGATAGGAACAGGTAGGTACAGGTAGGTACAGGTAGGTACAGGTAGGTACAGGTAGGAACAGGTAAAACTGGGAGGGACATGTCCGCGTAAGTGTGGTCAGCGCAGCAAACTCCAGTTACACCAGTTCAATCCTTCAAGAAAGTCTCAGAGGTAAAAGATACTTGTTTCTCGTGTATATCCAATGAATGTGTGCGTAGGTATATATATTCTGGTAGAACTAGGCGGGTAGAGAAAGCACCGGTTATTTGAGGTTAGTCCGGGTGTGGTAGGTGAGAAAGCAGTCTCCCATACACAGTGCTGGCTTGTCAGAGCATGTGCTGCAAAATGACTTCACCAGTGATCTTCCCCCCACAGAGCAGCGGTCACTGCAGACACGGCAATCTCTCCTCTTCCTGCCTTGATCAGGGAAGTGCCGCCCTCGAAGTCTCTCGACACTCTGGTCCATTCGTTGGTACCCCAAACTATCTTCCTGCACAACCCCTCGGCACAGCTGAACGGCCAATTCTCTCCTGAACTCTTTCAGTGACATCTTCCGAGAGCTGCTGGTGTGTGACTTGTACAGTACATGTGCATTGTTTACTGCTACCTCCAACAACCAGAAGAAAACCTTGCGCCACCATTTGATGGACTTCCGCTGAAAAGCGTAGTACGCCATCATCTGATCCATCCTGTCGACACCCATCATATGCTGGTTATACTCGTGCACCATCTCAGGAAGATGTTTGTTGCCAGACAACCTATATACAAGGACGTAAGTTCATACATACGTAGTAATACTATGCACATGTTTGTGGTCATGTACCTTATGAACTAAAAGTATGATGCACATAATATAGCATGTTTATAGCTAATATTGCTTTACGCAACGCACCTGGAAGGCACATCAATCATCTTGTTTGAGTACTTAGTAGTCAGCATGATCAGTGTTAGTTTTGTCCGTCCATTCTGTTACCACCATATTCCCCTTATGGTATCACACATCACCCTTTTTCCTTTTTCTCTTTTGTTTTAGGGCCTGTGGCATGTCCTTCCTGTTCGCCATCGCTGTGCCAGTGAGTGTAGTTTTGATGGCAGCAAGCTCAAGAGCAAGTATGGGACTGGTGTAAAATCTGTCCGTATACAAGTCGTACCCCATGTTCGCGATCGGCTCCATCAATGTAAGTACAACCTTTGTTGTGTGGTTCAGCTCTGGCCTGTTTATCAGTTCCGTCTCCCTACCGTAGTAGATGAGAACTGAATAGAGATAACCGGTGTCGCAGTCTGATAGCACGTACGCCTTTATTCCCCAGGGTGTAGGCTTGCCTCTGATGTACTGCCGGAAGAATATACGGCCTCGGAAAGCTATCATAGCCTCATCAATCGATACAGCTTTTGATGGAGTGGAAAACAGTTGGAATAGGGGGAGGAGGAGATCAATGAAACCCTGGATCTTAGAGCGCCTTGTCGGTCCATTTATTACTCCTACATGCAGGCTCCAAAATATTTGCAAAAATCGACCCCGTGAAAGCACGCGGCGAAAAAAAGGGAAGTTCAGTGTTTCCTGTTGTGACCAGTACTCCCTAATTTCAGGCACTTGGACCAACCCCATGTTGAGAATGAGACCAACAAACGCTTTCATTTCAGCTACTGTCACATCCACCCATTTACGAAACAGTGAGCGTCGACTCGGCCGTGCATTCGACATGCCGATGGCGTGCATAGGCGTTGGTCTGCTGCACTAGGTACATCCAAATGCTAGCATTGAAGAAAAGCTCTATGTATTCCAGTGGTGTTGCATCCCTTCGCAGTGGGATTTGAGGACCGGAGTTGGCGGAGAAAGGGGGAGTAAGTGGAGCTGGAATTTCACCTGTGTAAATAATATAAGTATTTTCCTCCCAGGTCTGAGACACAGATCAGCTACATTCATCTTGCATTTCTTTCATCTATGTGTAATAATGCATCTAGATACACTACACATACGTGCAGTCTGTCTCCAAACATCTCTCCTTGTATCAGTCATATCTTCACTTTCTTCAGTACTATCATCTTCACTCTCTTCATTTTCACTAACTTCACTATCACTCTCTTCCTCTATATCTGACCAATTCGCGAGTACTTCCTCCGCCTCCATTTCCTACCCGACAAAGAACGGGAGAGATCGCGGCTGCTCACTGCGCACGCGCGATCAAAGTTGCCGCCGCCCCCTGACCTTATGAACTCTGTGCTTGCTAGCTCCCAGGTGAACACGGCTGACTGTAGGATGGCGGTAGGCACCCGGTAGGACCGGCGAAGGACCCTTACCAAGGTAACAGTTTGCATGTCTCAGCATGTGAGACAATCGTCTGCTCGCGTTAACGTGGAATGTCTCAGCGTTTGAGACACTCGTCCGCGTGCGTGTACTTAGTGTGTCGCAAACGCTGAGACCGTCGTCCCGAATGAGTTAAGAATCAATTATTGTAAGTGTAAGTTTAGTTTCTTTCCAGAAGTGGAAATTAAACACCCCCTAATTTTCACAGATGTGTATATATACCATGCAGTCATCCATCCACCAAGTCAACCAAAAATGTTTTCTCTGCAGTTGTTGACTGTGGTAGTCTTGCTGACCCGGCATTTGGAGAAGTGAGAACTTCTGACACAACGTTCAACTCAACAGCCACTTACACCTGCAGTGATGGCTACAGTCTAGTGGGAGATACTACCAGAACATGTCTGGCTAGTGTTCTCTGGTCTGGAGATGAACCAACATGTACCAGCCATGCAATCGGTAGCAGTTGTCCTGCAATAACGCAAACAGATGTTGAACGTGTTCTAAGCTCATACGTCGCCGAGCAGACTTCATGCTCGGGGCAAACGAACTGCCCTCCTCAAATTACCATCATTGACATGTACATCAACTGTTTGTCATCTGGTCCACTCCGTGATACCTACACACATACAACAGTCACGGTGCTCTACACGACAATCGGGATGCAGTACTTGGCGCAGGCGGACATTGGGTGCTCTAACTCCACCGGCAGTTGGGAGGCCAGTGTCCTACGCTACATAGCATCGAGTCTGGACCAAGTGTTTGTGGTGGGGAATTGGACAGAGAATGAGGATACTAGAAACTCGTGTTCTGTTGTCTCAGCCCCCAGCTGGCTACTGAACTAGGAACCACTTCCGACTCCATTTACCACTGTATAGGTTAGTCAGTAAGGCAGACACCGTACCTTCGTGAGCAGTTTAAGGGAATGTGCCATATATTATATATAAGGGCTAAATTTAGAAATTACTCAAGTATGTCTTGCATTATATTACGTGTGTATGCTGCAAAAACGAGCACTTTACCTGCAATCGTCGCATTAACGTGAGCCGGAGGGAATCTATCCGCCGCAACCGTCACACCCTCTAAAGTCCCACCACACAGTTATTTCCCATTGCCTTGAAGGACCCAACACTCACGATTGACCACCGCCAATTGTCCCTCTACAGCCTAACACTCAGGGAACTTGGGTTTCTTATTGACTCCCAGCCACTGGTATGTTTCTGCATCAATGGACCTACTGTCCCCATCTCCTTCCGGGCGACTGCCAATGGCGGGGATGCTGCGAGTCACATGAGAGTGACAATGGACACCAGAATCATCAGCATATACCTGAAATGGACGACATCAACTCTTCTGAAATACGTCGAGTGCGTCAGTCGGTTCCCTAACTCTAGACTTATCCACAGAAACACAGAAGTCCCCCATAATCAACCAATAGAGAAGTTATTTGCCCGACAATGGGTTGTCAACGATCCTAGGGGTAGAAGGGCAATATCACCTAGTTGTATTAGAATTGTGTAACAGTCTATATTTTTGTCTCTCTCATACAGTCAGTGTTTCCATTTTTGCGTTTCAAACAACCAAGCCAACGAACCACCCTTTGCCTGTTATATCGCATTTGGAGCGGCTCGACGGTTCAAAGGCTGCGGTTTTATTTGCGGCTTTAGCTTATTATACTCGCAGCTACCGCCACACAGACCTCATTTTAGGACGAATTTGCGGAAAATGCTTCTCTGCTGTGGCATGAGGCCAAAAAGAACCGTGGTTGCACCAGCCCCTCCATCTCCCTACCCCCCCCACCACCGGCGGAGCTCTACGACTCCGAAGCAAAGGACCAAAGTTATTTCAGCGAACTGTCCACCTTCGCTGAGATAAAGATGCCGAAACGCCCGCGGAGCTCCTGCCAGCAGGTCATCAACACGATGCCCTATTTCGGGCCGTTCGCCCGTCGAAGAGTGACTTTTGTTGTAGAAGAATCTAGAACGACTGTTTTGGTGGACAATCAACATATAACAAACCGCTTAGATTTTACGCAGGGTCGAAGTGGCAGATCCATCAAAGATAGATGTATAGCTTTCCTTCACGCGACAGGTCGAGACGGCGCCCACTGCGAGTATAATGTCCCTTCCCCAAAGCCGCCAACACTGAAGTTTTTTTGCGAGAGACGTATATGGCTCAGCGGTGAAACGCCACTGGGGATGCGGCTGGGAGGCTCGCAGGTTCAACCAGTATCCGAAGCAGACCCTGAAAGTAAACGTGTGGCTGTCGTCCGTTGTGCGCGCTCAGCCGATGGCTGGAGGGACGAAGAAACTCAAAATCAGCGTGCCGGTTTGTCTCTCTTTCGGCGAATTAGAATACTTTATGCGAGAAGCGCTTTACCTGCAGTCGTCGCATGCGGCGCTACATTTACGCGAACCGGAGGGGATCTATCCACTGCAACCGTCAGACCCACTGAAGCCCCATCACCGAGAGCTGGAGTGCTTCGTCAGAGTGCCGCCCGTCTGTCTGACTACTCCGTGACCGTTTCTTCTCCCCGTCTCCTTGATTGGCATAGGGACAGTCAGAGTCACTCCTGCAACGACAGTGCTTGAGCTTGAATGTGCGATCGCAGAGCTCATTGGTCTACAGCTGGGAGACTTCGTCTACATCTCAGCTCTCTTTTCTTCCCAAGTTAGGGAGTCGTTTGGCCTTGGAATGTTCCTCAGTGCCAGCCGAAGAGAGGCGGATGCAATGGCTCGGATTGACCAGTCCAGACGATTCCCCATTGCATTGAAGGACTATTTTGTAAGCACGCAGTACCCCACTAATCAGGACACCTCAGTAAACAGGAGAGGACACTCCCACTAATAAGGACCTGAGAGCAGGACACTTCACTAATCAGGACACCTGAGAGCAGGACACTTCAATAATCAGGACATGAGAGCAGGACACCTCACAAACCGGGACACCTGAGAGCAGGACACCCCACTAATCAGGACACCTCTACATAATAATTATTACGACAATCATCCCCACTTGCGGATGTGATTCCCCTCTAACAGACACGCAAATTACCATGTCATCATTGTTTGTACTGATGCATACCCCATAGAGAAGACTTGTACTTCAGGTGAGTAGTTTGTTCAGACGCATGTTTCGAGGGTAGCTCTTCCTTCCTGGTAAGCCTGGGAGAGAGGGGAGAGGTCAGAGGAGAGAGTGTGAACACAGAAACATATGCAGGTTTTACCGGCTTTGTGTTCAAAACAGAGGAATATGAGTGCATGAGCGCTGGCAGAGATAGCATTCTTCACCGGGTTACCTCAGATTAATTAATCTGCGCATCTCGCTCCCGATCTCACGCCTGGTAGAGTGAAAGAATGGTGTTGAGTGCGTAAGTCAGAAGGAGAGGAACAAAGGTAGAAAGGAAAGAAGATTTCAGCTCTACCAGTGGGATTCCACCACTTCAGTAAGCCTTTTGTTCAAAACAGAGGAGTCATGCATACCAACACATGCATGCGTAGAGTCTTACTGAAAGACGACTCCACTGAACTTGCTTGGGCCGATTTCTCAATTCAAACTGATTAACGTATACACATCATTACACCTATATATTCAGACAAGACTTGTGTGGAATGGTAAAGGCCTAATGGTAAACTGATACCAAACTGGAGTGAAAGATTATCAGAGTGTGAAGGGAGAGTGGTGAAACAAAATGGGAAGGAGATGAAAGAGGATCTCACCATTTTAGTTTCAATCTGCTCTCAGTTTGGAAGAGCACTATTCTGACTGTGGTTCTACTGTGGAAAAGGAGAGGGAAAGGGAGGAGAGGTTGATGCTTGCCATTCGTTGTGACTTCCTGAGCCCCCAAGGTACACAGAGCGAGCGGATCAGGTCGCGGTAAGCCTAGTACGATTATGCATATTGGCTTTATTGCTAGTTTTCACGGCATATCTCTCAAACGCAGTCGTTTCAGGAAAATCGCCATTTTTTTCAGGCTCGCGTAGTTCGGAAGCCGTTGGTATCGCCTAAAGGCCACCCCGTAGCCTGTAGTGCCAGAATAAGCGTCAACACAAACAGATAGAACGACTACTGTAACCCTCGCTGCGCATGCACACCGAGGGTTAATAAAGACCCACATATAAGGCTCTCCATAGTGTCTGCAGGAGTTATTGGCCAGTGACAGGACAGTAGTAGAGCTGTTGGTTGAACCAGGAACCTTCTCCTGCTGAATGGAACCAGAGAGACGGACAGACAGAGATAGAGGTAATTGATTTTCTTAAAATTCACTGGCCATTAACCCTAGGCCTTGCACACACACAGCTGGAGCACACCAAAGGGAGGGGTGTGTGCCCACTGGGTGGTGATACAGGGCCATCGTAGGGTAATGGCCTCCAAAAATTGGGTTTGTAGGTTCCCCTCCTAAACCCCATTGAATGGGCCAGCTCTAGAGAGCCAGCCAGCTTAGCCCAGGGATGCTAGCCCTCACATTATATACCAGAAAAGAGCAGGAACAGTTGTGGTTTGTGTTAAAAATTCATTGCTATATGGGAGTGGCCTACTCACAACTAACAGGTTTTAACATGCAGTTGACCATAGACCAAAGAGCCACACAACTACTGAATATGCCATACTTTAGTAGTAAGGATAAGGGGCAAGAATAATATGAGACACGGTATATACTATGGTTACAGGATACATTGTGCACGTGAAACCGTCACCCACACCAACGCAGAAAGTATGTGGCCCTACCTGTGCTGAGACAGTCACAAGCTGTCTTACACAGGCATTACTGGACAGTCCTTTTAGGCTCAGTTCTACATACCTACAACCAGCAGTACGTGTAGTGTTTCTCTGATCTCCGTGCCACTCACCAATTACAGTAGAAAGTAATGTCATTCAATGTCTGCCATGTGTGTAAGTACACATCTACACCACTGACTCTGATGGTGATCAGAGTGTGTAGAAAGACATGTGCATACGATAGCCACATCCGCAGGCTCTTTGTGGTAGAGGAAAAGAGCCTGGTACTCTTACTCTGGTGATCTTACAGCCAGGAGGAGGACAGCAATACAACAATACGCATGGCTATCCTGAGGGAAAATAAAGCACAGCTACTCATTCGGAACACCTTGAATACACCCAGTGATTGCTTTTGTACTTTTATACGGCATGTGAGGGAAAATAAAGGACAGCTACTCATTCGGAACACCTTGAATACACCCAGTGATTGCTTTTGTACTTTTATACGGCATGTGAGGGGAAAACAAAGGACTTTACTCATTCGGAATACCCTGATTACACCCAGTGATTGGTTTTGTACATTTATATGGCATGTGAGGGGAAATAAAGCACAGCTACTCATTCGGAATACCGACTACACCTGGTATCCTTAGGAGATAGCAGTGGATTTTGATGAAATTAATATGTATTATGATACTTTGTAGCTCACCAGTAGCAAAGTTGAGCAGCTTGTGATACACGAGATACGGGCAATAGGTCCTGCAAAACCTAACAAGTTTTGCCTCTCTCAGCATCGGTAGAAGAGAAAGAAGGGGGGAAATGAGGAAGGAAAGAGTACGCAAAGATAGGCTAGCAATGCTCCAATCTTCCCAGCTATGCCCCAACCTACTCCCTTCCTCCCGGCTAGCAATGCTTTCCCACCCACTCCCCTCCCCTTGGCTAGCAATGCTCCAACCCACTCCCCTCCCCTCCCTTCGGCTAGCAATGCTCTCCCACCCACTCCCCTCCCCTTGGCTAGCAATGCTCCAACCCACTCCCCTCCCCTCCGCGTGCCCCCTCCCCTCCCTTCGGCTAGCAATGCTCTCCCTCCCACTCCCCTCCCCTTGGCAAGAGAGTATCACAAATACTAATAGTAATGACTTTCACAAAGGGTAAAGCTCTCTGCCTGGACTGCAGAGTGTTGTAGTTTGGAATCACACCCAGGGAAGCTCTTTTTTCATTGAATTCACCTGAGTATAGCTGTGTTGTTTGCCTTATATTATTTGCATACAATAGTATGTATCTACAACAATAACTAACCAACACAGTCAGTGTGGAAGATAAGAGAGAGAAAGAGAAGGGATAGAGGACAGAGACCCTTATTTCTATGATCGTCTAGCACCACATGATCAGGGGGTTTCAAGCCGCGTTCCGTAAGTGATTCCATCACTGTCCTGCTCCAGCAACTTAGAAAGAGAGAGGAGGGGAGATGTTATATATAGCTCATGAAACACTGACTGCACATGTAGAAAAGACTGAAGCCAAACTGACATTACCCTCTCCCTCTGTTCCCTCTCTCCTCTTCCACACATGCAAAGAATGCTCATTAGTTGGAAGACGAGTCACGCCACATTTACAACACCAGCCATACACATATTGGGCTCACTGTGAATAAACTACCGGCATTCCCTCCTTAGGCCTGTGGCTTGCTGTCCCGTGGTCAAGTGAACTCTAGCTCATCTCCCTCTTCCTCGTGCGCATGCTTAGTTCAGGGGAAGCTGTTGTGTGCATGCGTACAGATGTGGGCGGGACCCGATAGTAGGCTCAGCAGCGTGCCTGGAGTGTGTTCTGCAAGAGAATAGCGATGTTACGGGGTTTACCTACGTGTGTTCCCACAGTCTAGCGTAGCCTGGCTCATGAGCAGCATACATAACCCCGTACAGAACCAAACGCTTGGACCAAGTAGACCTGAGAGACTAGTCTGGCACAGCCAGTCTGAAAAAGGCAGGCTACGCCAGACCCAGAGCAGCTCTTTTTTTCTAGTTTGCCTAACTGTAGCTGTGTTGCTTGCCTTACATCATGTGACAGTGTGGTGTGTGAACATACTTTGTGTGAGCTTGTTTGTCAATGTTGTGTTCCTTTGTACTTATAAAGTGGTTTCCAACACTCTATAATGTGTATATATTATTTTGTGCCTACATATATCCCACTGTACCAGTTGATTGAGCATTGTTTGTTCTAAGAACATGGCAGCACACTCTACACTTACATACTCTTTGTACCACGTATTCACACATGCACATGTATATAGCCTTACATCATGTGCATAATGTGTATATACAAAAATTGTATGATGACTGAGAGTAAGATCAAAGGAATTCCAGCTAGTCCAAACAACGTACACTCGTAGTGAGCGTTTCCTGCTGAGTTTACGGGTAGTTATACGATAAAGAGGCCATACGATTTCCCCATACTTTAGCTGTATGTCAACTTATTTGCATAAACCACAATGGGTATATGGTAGTTATACGATAGTAGGAAATTGGCAGCGTGTAATGCAATTAGGGGGCTTTTACACTCTGTGTGTGCTGCTGTTTCTTTACCAGAAGGGAGTGTTTTCAGGCTAGAATGGCCAGAAACTGCTCTAGTATATACGCGGTCTGAAAACTAGCTAAAAACTGCTTCCCGACGCGTAGGCTCCCGTAGACTGGAACAGTATGTGACTTTCAGCTTTCTTGCTACTGCAACAGGCTGCATTCGAGAGCGCTGGGTATAGCGGGAGAGAAAGCGAGCCAGAGCGGCAGCTACAAAACTCGCGTGGAGTCCAGCAGCGAAAAAGTGACGTACTTGTAACGTTGAACTCTCGAAAAAATAACCATGGCTTCTGCACAACCGCCCAGCTTGACCAAACTAAAGCGCTTATTGCAGCTGTCTCTCCGCTCCCGATCGGTCGCTAGCTCTCTCCGGCCGTACACTCGAAGCTTTTGTGCGATCTCATTGGTCAGAGCCTTACCGCGGAATGTCATCATACAAACATGTTATACGATGGCTTTGCTTGTGGTTTACTGGTTGTACACTCGTGCCTTCAGTTTTGATAGACCACTCGGGCTACGCCCTCGTGCCCTATCAAAACTGGCCACTCGTGTAAAACCAGTAAACCACGCGCCGCCATCGTATAACCTATACATATCTTATGGGGAGGCCCAAACCAGTATGTTTGTGGTAAGTGAGAGAAAAGAGAGGAAGAGAAGGGATAGAGGAGAGAGACCCTTACCTCTGTGCATCACACCATCAGGAGGTTACAAACAGTGTTCTGCGAGTGATTCCATCACTGCCCTGCTCCAGTGACTGAGAAAGAAAGAGAGGAGGGGAGTTGTTTTAGCTCTTGAAACATTGACTGCACATATGTACATAACAATGTAGCCTCTGTGCAGAAAACACTGAAGCCTACAGTAGCAAATACTGACATCACCCCCTCCTTTCTTCCTCATCTTTATTTACTCCCTCTCTCCTCTTTCACACATGTGCAGAATGATCGTAGGTTGGAAGACGAGTCATGCCACATTCACAACACATGTCAACACACTCTCTTAGGCTCGCTGTGATATATTGTTCTACACGCATTCCCTCCCTACGCTTGTGGCCTTACTGTCCTGTGGTCAAGGGAGCTCTAGCCATATATATACCTTCTTACGCATGCTTAGTTCAGGGGAAGCTCTTCTGCGCATGCGTACAGATGGGGGCGGCACCCTGCAGTAGAAATGGCTCAGCAGTGCGCCTGGGAGTGCGGAGAATGGCGGGGGTATATACGGGGTACGGGGTTTACCTGTACGCATGTTCGCGCAGTCTAGCGTAGCCTGGCCCATGAGCAGCATACAGAACACAACGCCTGGACCAAGTACCTGAGAGACTGCGTTTCCCCTGAATAAGGCTGGTACCGAGATTACCCAGTGAGACAAAGGATCAATGCCCACTCTATATACACTATTCGGACACTATTCCAGTGCCTCTCGCGGCTGTCACGCCGTTTTACAAAAACTCCGTCCCACACTCAAACGGGCAGGGTGTGGTAACTACCGTACACTGTACATCTGTCTCTAAACTCACCAGCAAGGAACGAAGAACATCCATACAGAGCTCCAAAAGCTGCACACGTCGATCGATCAATAGAGCAGTGTAAGTACATACGCACGCACGTGGACGTACGTATATTACAAAGATTTTGCGACATCACGTGAGCTTTTCGCACTGCGCATATGCACATACGCAGGCAATTTACACTGCCGCAATGCGCTTGTGCTGGTAATAACCGCACCCTTTCTTATTGAATTATGTCATCGTCGAGAAGTCAAGGCACGTGACGCAAACGCCTACTGCGCATGCACAATCGCGAAAGAGGCGTGGTATTAAATTTCCAGGGGCAAAATGGCGGGCTGCAACGACGTGTCCAGTGACCTCATGACCCTTCCTGAAATACTGAAATTCATGAGAAGCGCTGTAGTGCGCATGCGTAGCCCAGAAAAAGGGGCGTAA